TCTTTTTTGAGTATTAATACGCTTGTAGCGGTTAATATTGAAGTATTTTACTCAATGATAACACAAAGGTAGAGACAAGGGCCTCACATAACCTTCGAAAAATCATGAAAATTCAGCCAAAAATGATAGTAGAGCCGAAATCGTTTCGAGAAATATTCTGAAAACTTGCTACAGTCTCGTTTGATCAATGAATCAATATGGGATGTATGCAATACAATTGAAATGTTATTCAATCCGATTTCAGAACTTGTCTGTACGGTAGTTATGTCTTATTTGATTATGTAAATAGGAATCTGTCTAGCATTTAGTTAGGAACAGAAATGATCGAATGAAATTAAATCCCAAAGTGTTTAAAATATCTTTGGAATGTGTGATAGTCTTCGTGTGACTGCTTTTGTTGAGTATACCATCGGAGAAAATAGAGTTTATTAGTTTCACATAAACTCAATAATACTAATTTAAGAATGGCTCTCGAAATGATTTTCAAATTAGAATACAAATTATGAATAAGTTTAATTATGTTTGATATTGGATAGAAGACACTGAAAATATATTAGAAAAAACTCTTCACATAATCGAATTATTTTATACTGATTCGTCTAAAAGAACTATCGTCATCTGTTGAAAAAATCGGAGAAATCAGTCATGATCGTAACCAGCTAAAATGATCTTAGACAGATGTTGAATATCTGTCGTGGTCAATTGTGAGGTACATTAAAAAAGAGTTACGGTCTTTTAAGCAACTCGCATCAGATACTGATAGTTAGCCGAAAATCATATTGAATACTTGAAAGATCTTATTTACATAATGCGCAATGAGCGATTTCCTCACATATGAATCATCATGTATCTGTTGTTGATGAATGTTTCACGATTGCAGACAAAGATGCGAAACGTCCACTTTTATTGTGTATAATAGAACGAAATAGTTATATGCTTTTTTTCTTTAAAGAACTTGTTGAGTGAAACATGACAGCAACATTGAATGAATTACTTGGCGAGCGATTACTCCAACACAACGAACCAAAAGAAGTACCGACCAGTCAACTCGATGGCAAAACTGTCGTACTCTATTTCTCGTGAGTTCATTATTATTCGTAAATCAATTATCATATCGATTTTATTCCAGGGCCTGGTGGTGTCCATGTTGTTGCAAATTTACACCGAAACTGGCAGAAATCTTTAAAAAACTTCAGAACGATGTATCAGACAAATTGGACGTAGTCTTTATTTCTGACGATAAAAATGAAGATGAATTTTGTGAATACTTCAAAGCAATGCCATGGAAAGCAATGCCTTACTTGGGTGCGTGTGTAATATCTCGAAGTGGAAAGATCAGGAAAATAGCACTCTCGTGATATCACATTGACTTCTGTGTATTTTTATCCTTCATGTTTCCTTTCACAGAGCAGACTGAATAGAAACGCAACAGGAAAGTCTTTTCTAAAGGTAGTATAATCATTCTGCATATATATTGTCTCTAAGAAATCAACACTCTTGCAAACTTGTTTATCGGTAAAAAGCCATGAATGACCTCATCTACTACTAGAACAAAAGAAAATGTCATATATAATTTTTTTTAAATATAGAACAAGCCTATTAGACAGAACATGTTTTTATAGTGTATTCAACAGAAATCAAGTGAGTGTTTATATATTGTTCGAGAAAAATCTATCTTATCTGATGAGGAACAGTCGATACTTTTGTTCGTGTTGATTTTCAAATTCTATTTCAAGATACAGACTATTAAAAACGATATAACAATGAAAGCTAGAATAGGCCTAATTGTAATAGAAGAACACTTGTTTTTTTAGAAAGAATTCCGTTCTTTAGGTCGCGATTGGTATATAAAATTATGTGAGAAATTCAACATCAGAGGCATTCCATCGATAATCGTTCTGTCTCCATCATGTGATGTTCTCACTTCGGTTGGTTATGAAGAAGTACGCTCGGTAGGCATCGAAGCATTACACTTGTGGTGTCAAGGCAAGTCTCTTTTCTGGGAAAAGTCACCACATGATGGTGAACCTGTCTGGGATGACATCGATTGCACTTATTGTCATATGCGTCCCTTGGTTGGTTCACGTTGTGGTTGTACTCGTGAAGAATGTTATTTTAATCTGTGTGAGACATGCATTTCGAAGAATGCACACGATCATCCTCTTGTCAAATATCTCTTTCCCAAACAGATATATTCATTGGAACAACTGTTTGCATCAGTGCCGTATTTACTTAGCTCCAATAAAGGAGACCGATTAGAAACAAAGATATTGTGGAAAGATGGTGTGAAAAGTTTTGGACTATACTTTTCAGCTCACTGGTGCCCACCTTGCCGTGAATTTACACCTAAATTGGCTCAGGCCTACAAAGAAGCTCAAGCGAGCGCTCATCCGTTTGAAATAGTGTTTATCTCATGTGATCGAGATGAAACATCATTTGATGAGTATCGTGCTGAGATGCCTTGGCCTGCTGCTCCTTTCAACTCAACAGCTGTACTCGACGCTTACTTTGATTGCAGAGGCGAGTGAACATTTTCATTTTTATTTTCATTGAATCTTGCCTCTTTTAGGCATTCCATCACTCATAGTTGTCTCGATTGATGGAAACATTTTGACTCGTAATGGTGACGCTTCAGTGTCGCGTAAAGGAGTTGAAGCTCTACAGACATGGGCCAATGGTAAAGTATTACCTCGTCCGTCGGTAGACGAGTTTGAATGGTTCTGTATTTCATGCGATGGATGCGGCATGGATCCGATCATTGGTCAACGGTATAATTGTTCAACATGTGGTAACTATGATCTCTGTTCGACTTGTGAAAAGAAAGGACATGAACATCTGCTCGAACTCATTCCACAACCGAACGTCGATGAGAATGATTGAAATCGCAATCACATATAAAAAACAAGGAAATCGAACTTCATATAATTAATTTGTGCTGTATCGAGTGTGTAGTTTCAGTATCATAGTAATAATAGAATTCATCGTGTGCAGAAATTTTTTTCCAACGTTATATTGATTACGATTCGTAATGATTCAACAAAGAAAAGAAAATGTTGTTTTCTATCATTCATGTCATTTTCTTATTTCGTTTATGAATGGTTTCTTGCGAACGGATTTTGTATTCGCCAGGGTGTGGGTGTGGGTGGGTATGCAAACGAAAGCATATCATCTACAGACACATCCTTCTCTATTCATCTCACCTTATTTGTATATTTGATTTTTCTTATTTTACATTTCTTCGTGCAGATCATGCATCACAATTAAAAAATTGTCAACTACTATATAAATAGATCAGTATATGAGAGGCTCTGCGTCCTATGATACATTAGACTGTTTTTTTTTCATAACAAATTGAGTCTAGATAAGTATGTTAGCTAATCAAAATAAGTAAAATTATAAATAATTTGAAACATTCATTGGGTATCTTCCATTACGCTCTTCTATATTATTGTCAGTGACGAAATACGATTGACTAAAGATACAATTCATAAATGGATGAGATAGTTTAAGTGATTCGTCATGCATCTACGAATATTCGTGTACTCAACATTGAAAGTGATCACGAAAAATCTCGATCCATCTCGTATAGTTATGATGGATCTATAAAGAATAACTGCTTCTGTTAAAACATAGAAATTTTTCATATTGCATTTCGTTTTACTATTATTTTCATTGTACCAACAAAATCATTGAGTGATGCAGAACATTGTCGGGAAAATTTTTAGACTTGGATGATCAAACATCCACATTGCATGTATAAGTTTTCTCATATCGAATCAGAGAATTAATAATCTTCTTTGAAACTTTAAGACAACAGAAAAATTTGATATTTTCAAAGTCCTTAATTGTGATTAGTTGAATTTGGAGTCTTTCTCACATGTTTACAATATCATGAGGTAAGAAAAATTGACGACAGCAGTATCCGATCGAGCATAGACAAATATAAACTACATAAGCACAAAGATACAGGGTGTCTCATAAGTTGTGGCAGATTTTTTTAAATCTAATTTTTGATGATAATGAATACAAATCAAACTCAAACTTACACGTATCATACAACTTAACATGTACTTTTATTTCATATATTTTATTTGAATTTAATCATTGGATATACAAAAAAATAAAGAAATTGGTACATGTGCAAAATAAGCACACCATCAATGTGTTACAATATATATACCCCGACAAAAGTTTCACTCTGTATTTCTCATATATTGTCACTATAAAAATAAGTTATTTTAAAACTAATTACATAGTCTGAAAGCTCGCGGAGTTTTCTATCATTCTGTAGAATTAGGTTTTAGTTTTGACCTTTTCATTACCAAAATAAATTGAAGACAACGAAGGCACCCTCATGTCCAGATTCCCAGACTTGATCTTTCCTTCGTCATCAAAACTAGTTTTAAAAATTTTTCATCCGTATAGAATGATCTGTATGAAAAAGTAACTATAGATTCTGATAGAGCTTAAAATTCTCTATCACCCTGTCTATTTACTTATTTTCTTGCGTTTATAGATTGAAATAAAATTGAATACAATGAATATACTCCGAATCGACTAGCCCAAAAAATTTGCATTTTTTTTCGCTACTTAAATTTAAGACACTGTATTAATACATAATATCATAGAGCATTTCAAGTGCTATCAGAATGTGTGATTTCTTTGGTAAAAACTTACTCCCATAGGAATAGTAATTGGAGAAAAAACTAACAAAGTAGCGAAAAAATGCAGACTTTTGATATTTGTCAATGGAGGGTATGTTCATTGAATTTGTTTA